CACAGTTCACAGTTGTTTCAAAATACAGCTCTCTCTGTCTGCATCCTAGAAACAAAGTCCATAGTTATTCTCCCAATTTGTTGGAATATGTGATATGATACCTAAAGGTAAATCTTTTGACTTGCTATTGAAAATTTCGTCTTTGAAACTTAATTGGTGTCATACTTGTAATATTCTTATAATTCTGTTTAATAGCGCAAATGACTTAAAATTTCATTTGACTCAACAACAAAAATAGTTAGTTACAATATATTTTGGTTTGAAACATGTGGACGAGAACAATATTAAGAAATTTTTTAATACGGTGAAAAAAATGTTTCTCTTAAAACTTTTAATTTTGTAGTTGTATTTGTATTTGTATTTGTTTCTGCCCTACTTAGCATCTAATAGGTTTTAGGACACTCACACTGAGAAGCATATGCTTATCGAGCAGTGTCCTGGTCCTTCCTCTCCATGTAACCACACCTCGTAATTCCAAAAATGGAATTACAGAGACCTGGTGACTCTCCTCACTCTGGGTCAGGGCCAGTCTGCAGAGTATGGCATGTACACACCGGAGATATTTTTGTGCAAAACCTGTTGCACACCCATATTTTTGGGTGTGGCAACTAAGATGGGTGTGGCTTGGTGTGGTCCCATAGAAAATGTCAGCTGATAAAAACAAGCACAGTTGTGTATGAACAATTTGAGATATCATGAATCTTACTTGACAAATATACAAATAAAAACTTGCGCTATCTTCAACAGTATACTTCACACGCATTTTTACCGTGAAATGCAAAATCACAAATTTTAACCACAACAGGGAAAAATAGTCGGTGCACACCAGCACACCAGACATTTTTGGTGGTGCACACCGTCACACAAGGCTTTTTGCTCGTGCACACCAGAGATCTCGTCGAAAAGTGCCATACTCTGCAGACTGGGGTCAGGGGCGAACACTTGGTCAAATATTGGGGGGGGCAAGCCTATTGTTTTAATAAGATGACGTCACATTTCCCATTGTTTTCGAACAAAAGACCATTGTCCTCTAAAGTATTGGGGGGCAGTCGCCCCCCTGCCCCCCAAGTGTCTGCCACTGCTCTGGGTGAAAGTTTGGTCATGCCAAGGACTCATGGACCCTTGGATCTGTGGTCAGCACTCCTAACCACTGAGCCAACCTCACCCCTTTAATCCAATTTATTAATTAATTAACTTGCTACATGAAGTCCATGTAGGTATGCGAGTAGAATTTTAAGCTAGCCTATATAAAAATGCTCCCATCTAAAAGAGCTTGAAAAATCAAACAAGATGAGCCGTCACTGGTCATGATAGGAGCAGTATTTAATGATAAAATTTCAAAAATATCATATGAAATTGGTGATAAGCTAGATCAAAATACATAAGAAAACATCACCAAAAACTGCAATTCATAGTTATTAGGTGATAGTGCCATTAAATTTTCATATGAAAGATATTTCCAAAGAATCCCAAAACTAATACCAGAGCTGGAAAATTGTCCAGCAGCAGTGCTGCCAGAAAATTTTTAGCACAAAGTCATTGCAGGAAATTGTAGCTGTTTGCCAGGAAATTTTTATTGCGAAATCTTAATTACTTGATTTCAATTTGAAAATTAATTTCATGTTACTCTCTTTCTACGGAACGCTGTTTTATTGTGAATGGTTGTTCTGCACCACTTACAAAAAAATGAAGATTATCACATTTATTAAGATTATCATATTATGATAATCTTAATATCATGATATTGTCATCGATATTATGATAATATCATGATTACCACATTAAATCAAGGGCTACACTATCAAGTTTTATTAGCTGGGATAAAGCCAAACCTTTCGATTTGGCATGGCCCAGTGAACAATTGGATCCCCCAAATAAATGTTAATTACCCTCTTTGTTGGCTAGACAGCCAAATGAGATTATAGATGTGATAATAACTCAAAGGGCACTAAAGTTTTACAGAGAGCTAGGGACTCTCCCCACTCTGAGAGAAAGTTTGGTCCTGTGAGGACTCAAACCACAAACCCTTTCATCTATAGTCAGCGAACCTAACCACTGAACCATCCTCCCACCTTATATCTAATACCCTCTTGATCCCCTATCGTATTTAAGTAGACCGAGTTAAAGTTTGATTTGTTTAATTAACACCATTTTCTTGAAAATTTTGCACACAAGGGGAGCTCATGTGACCCACTTTAGCACTCACTTGCTACTGATGTGTCCCATTTAAAAGCCTGAATCTGGATCTGTGCTAGGAAAAATGAGATCAAGGACATTACATTTTCTTTTTTCTCAGAGACTGTTTTGAATATTGTCAACCAGTAATTGTGATAATAAAATCTTTTATCCTGAATACATCAGTGCAAGTCATATAACATTTAAATCCTTGTCGACAAAACTCTTGCAGGGTAGTTATATTGGTTTTACTAAAGATCTTGCAGCTCCCCTCTGTAAATGTTCCAATTTCCCATTGAAAGATTGTGATACTGGGTGCTCAAGGTGGGAATGAAATGGGCATATCAGGATCTTGGGTAGTTGGATAATTAGAAAGATTTTGAAGGTAATGTTTTTGTCTGTTTCTTTGCAGGGCTTTCCAATTTTGAAGCAAGAGCTTAGAGAGAGAAGGAAAACAAAGTATGGCAAAAAGCCATGGAGAAGGGTTTAAGCATAAGATAAAGTCATTGCTTGGGATACGAAAAGCAAATACTATCCAGAAAGCAGGGATTGAGAATGAAGAAGAACATGGTTTCATCTTCTCCCCGGATGTGCTTAAGGTTTTGTAGTTATGATTGTATTTTCAGGCCTTAAAGTGCCTATGACATTAATTTTGACAAGTTTAGAGAAGGGCACAAAATTTGCTGATTTCAATTATATATGTTGAGGTGATTTTTTTTTCTTGTGGAACTGTCTGACAATTTAGGTTGAGTATCCCTTTTCATGTTTTTGACTTTGACTTTTCAATTTTCAGATGGGGTATATATCCTTCTATCATTTTCTGTGTATCAGATTGCCATCTATTGCAAAGTTTCCTGCTATCGTACCTGCTTTCAGCAGAGATGTTAAAATAGGGCCATTAGTGGAGTCATACAATAAAGCATCTTAGTCTCAAAATAGCCCAAGGGGGCAACCTTTAATCGGGCTCTGTATCCTATCTTTTTCAGCATATCAAACTGTCCTATATTGCAAAGTTTCCTGCTGTAGTACTGAAGTATGATTGAGATGCGATAACACCATCTTTAAAAGTTCCGGAGGAAAGTACCCCAGTCTAAAAATAGAAAAAGGGGGGCAATTTTCAGTTTGGTTCTATATCCTATCTTTTGTACCGCATCATACTGCCCCCTGTTTTAAAGTTTTGTGCTATTGTACCTACTTTCAGAAGAGATATTGTGATAACACTGTTAGGGGCTTTGGGCAAAGAACCCCGGTCTAAAGTAGTTAAAGCTGGCAATTTTCAGTTGGGTTCCATATCTTTTTCATCGTATCAGACTACCCATTTCTGCTGGGTAGTCTGATATGATTAAAATTTCATGCTGGTATCACAATTTGCACAATCATTTGACTAACAGTCCTGGCTAAGTGGTATGGTGTGTTTATGGTGAAGATGGAACCAACTGCAAACCTTGTGACATCACTGATTCTTATGCTTTGTCACTCGCGCTCATTGTTTTAAAACCCCCAAAACAAACCTTCCAATGCAAATTTTCGAGTTAATTGTTGTTTTATATTGCAACAACATGTAGAAGTTTCAATTTCTTTGAGATTAAACAATGTGTGAAGTTTAATTTCATTTGCACTTTAATGACAATTTTTGTCATTCGACGTTGATTGTAGTTGTTTTGATTGTTGTTGATTTCTGATGTAGTTGTTTTATCTTTTCTGAAACATAGTTACCAAAATAAGATAAAGTGCTTTTAAAACGATGCAGATATTCTTGTCTTTTGGCTTTATTTGATGATGCTGTAGTAAAAGTGAGAGTTACATTAAAGAATCTTAGACAGTGCTATGGGGCCCAAAAATTTGAACATTACTTGTTGTTGTGTAGAAATTTTAATAATAATCTGCTTGTTATTTAGGAGATCACCAAGGAAAATAATTTTGGTCACAGAGCCAGAGTATTGAAAGAGTTATGTGAAGTTGTCTCAACAAGAAAACTTGAAGAGGTTGAAATTTGTTTTTGATTTTGTTTCTATTCAGGCATTATTAGAATAGGGAAATATATTATATTTTTAAAAATCAGCAAAGCATGCAAACCCGTAAAGGATTTGTGGCAAGGGGAACTGCTTTTTATATATGATTCAGAAAATGTATCTCAAGAATTGCATATTTTGGCCTAGGAAGTGGAAAGAACATACCTTTTTATAACAAGAAACTTGAAAAATTCACTGTTCTTGAAAAATTCACTGTTCTTTCATTCCCCTTCTCAAAGAGTACAATTTTTTTAGTTGAATTGGCCAAAAAAGCTGTGGAAATTGTGTTTTCCTTATTGATCAGTGTCACTGATTACCATATTTTGCTATCTATAAGATGCATAAGACGCACTAGAATTCCATGTTTGAATTAAAAAAAATTTAGTTTTTACTGTGTGTCTTACCATGTATAAGACACACCCCCTTTTCTCAGTTCTTGTAAAGCATGTATCTTTGAGTGAAAGATTAAACTCGAGAATACTCTAGACAGCAAGGGCAGATTTTGTAACAATAGGTTCTTTGGTTTGTTTACATTTTGTTGACTAGCCAATCAGAGAGCTCTATTTCTATGGCGTCATCTTATGGTAATGGCGGATGGAGGGGTTTGCTGTGGAGAAAACCACACCCTCGTTTTTTCCTCGCGACGAAAATATACTTTGAGAAAAACTCGAGATTTTTTGCACCCGTATAGAACGATAAATTTTACATGTAATTTTATTGGCACTAAGCTCTGCGTTTACTGCTCTTTGCGTGATCGCTCGCTATTGACATCCCTTTTTGCACGCCCTCAATCGCTCGACGATCGATTGCACTTCCGCACAAAAACAAATTCAAAAAACGTTATAGTTTGCATCTGTACAATATTATTTGACAATATAACTGGAAAATAAGGTAAATTGTACTAGGAAAATTAAAGTGTTAAAAACGAAATTTTGAGCATCGCCCTTTGTCAAGTTATAGAACAAATTTAGATTGGCAAAAGGACTTTTCAAAAATACATGAGGGTCCACCAGATAGTTTATAAGAAACGATAATGTTTTTGAGAAACCATTCCAAGATGAACCAAGACGTTAAAATATTGCCAACCTTCTTCATTTTTTTCTGTTATTAGCTTTTGTTGAAATATGAAACCTTTGCAGTACAATCTTTACGCAAATAAACCAATGTCAAATCAACGCAGAGCAGAAAAGTCAGGTGGTTAGAACTCAATTACAAATTGGCCAATGAAACATTATAATTTTTTATAAACTCGTTCTCAAGACACAAAAACTTTTGAAAAACAACGTGTTTACTTTCAGTTGGGAAGATTATTTGCATGGAGATGCCAACAATCAATTACAAATCATGTATAACATTTAGTAACATTTTACCAGACCATAAACGTTCTTGAAAAGCAGGCATTTTATTCAGTGCAAAAGCTGCTTTCTTTACCGCTGCAAGTCTTGCTGAAATCGATAAGTACGAGTGTACATTTGTAATTGTTTACTTTGCTTCTTGCAATATTTATGGACAGATTTTAAAAGTTATGATTTTCAACTTCAATTTACAATTTTCTGTAAACATTTTATTCAATTTTGTGCGATGAAGCAAACCAGTTTCGATGCAAACTGGTTAGGGCAGAACGTTCGACCATTTGTCTCGCGAGAGTTCTTGTTCTTTTTGAACGTGACCAAAATTTTATGCTTCTTGCTTTCAAATTATTTTGCAATTTTCTAAATCAGCAGTTTTTTGCATTCAATTATACGAACAATTAAATAATAGCTTTTCTTCGATCATTGTGATAAAACATTATTTCTAGACACTGCTGTGTCAACTCACTTGTTTCCGATGCTACCATCTTGAGGAAAGACCCTCAAAAAGTTTGCTTACACATCTATAATAAGATGAATTTTTGACGAATAAATAGTTCAACGCCAAAGAAACACAGGAAAAATTCGAGGAAATTAATGGAAAGGTTATTAAGAGAATTGTCTTTGAATTTATTTAAAAAATACTTAAAAACAGATTCCTGGCAATATTCAAAACTTTCCGGATACATTGGAGTGGGGGAGTGCAGTGTATAGTCCAACCAATGGGAATTTTAAATGAACATCGAACAGCGGTGGGACATTGTGTCTTATCTGCCATCTTCGTATAACCATGTTGATTGCGAGTTTGTTCAGTTACTGTTTTTTAGTCGCTTTTCACTCTCCATCCCGCCGAAATTATGGCTAGACCCCTCTCCCGAAGGGCTAGCGCTACATATACATATCCACCTTAATAGCTATTTTAGGTTGAAAAATAATTTAAAAAACACTGTAAGACCCTTTTTGAAATATTCCTTACATCTGCTAGCAGTGCAATTGAAGTCCACTGTTGTTTTTGGTAGAGGAGCGTGATTTGTTGGGTTTAGGGCCGAGTCGTCGGAGGGTCATCGAGCCATTGAGGGCGTGCAAAAAGGGATGTCAATAGCGAGCGATCACGCAAAGAGCAGTAAACGCAGAGCTTAGTGCCAATAAAATTACATGTAAAATTTATCGTTCTATACGGGTACAAAAAATCTCGAGTTTTTCTCAAAGTATATTTTCGTCGCGAGGAAAAAACGAGGGTGTGGTTTTCTCCACAGCAAACCCCTCCATCCGCCATTACCATCAGATGACGCCATAGAAATAGAGCTCTCTGATTGGCTAGTCAACAAAATGTAAACAAACCAAAGAACCTATTGTTACAAAATCTGCCCTTGCT